AGGTAATTTTGGATAGGATATGTAGTGATGGAAGAGTCAGTGACATTGTAACAATGATAGTCATTGAGATAGCTTGGAGGATTGGATGTTCTGTTGGATCTACGAAGAGAAGGTTGGTCCACAATGGCAGGTGGTGTGTGAGGAATAGTGGTAGTATAAGGTGCTGTAGTATTGTGGTCATCAATGTCATCCAAGGTATGTGAATGAGTGATATTAGGGGTAATATAAGGATCAGAAATGGTTTGATGTGCAGGTTTAAATGGGAAAATATGTTCAAAAAATTTTACATCTCTTGAAATAAAAATTTGTTTGGTGGAGAGGTCAAGGAGTTTGTAACATTTGTATCCCTTGGGATAACCCAGGAAAACAGCAGCAACAACCCTATGAGTGAACTTGTGTCTGCTAGATAAAAGGGTAGATGCATAGCATAAAGAGCCAAAAACTCTGAAATCAACATAGTTAGGAATCTTATCATACAAAATTTCAAAAGGTGACTTAGAATCCAGAATAAGGCTAGGAGTTCTATTCATGAGGAACACAGTAGTTTTGACACATTCACCCCAAATTTTAATGGAACATTAGATTGAAACATTAACGCACGAGCAATGTTCAGGATGTGTAAATGTTTTCTTTCAACCACACTGTTTTGTTGTGGTCTTTCTACACAAGAGAATTGATGAATGATACCTTTCTTGGAGAATAAATCAGTGAAAGAAAGTTCCTTGGCATTGTTAGACCTGAATGTTTTAGGAGTTTTATTGAATTGGGTTTCAATATAAGATAAGAATTGTGGTATGACAATAGCACAATCAGATTTATTTTTCAATAAGAAGATCCAAGTGAACCTGCTTTTGTCCTCAACAAGAGTTAAAAAATATTTAAAACCATCATATGTAAGTTCCCTAAAGGGTCCCCAAATATCAGCATGTAGTAAATCAAAGAAGTTGGGACTAAAATGGTTAGGATTAGAGAAAGAAAGTCGGTTCTGCTTAGCAAGTTGGCAAGTGCTGCAATGAAAATGAGAATCAACAAAGGATAAAACAGCTTTATTGGCAATCAATTGTACACATTAATAGGAACATGACCTAATCTTTCATGCCAAGTATCATAGGAAACAAGGTTACAAGAATCAATGTTATTGAAGGTAAATTTTGACTTAGGAAAATAAAAGAACAGTAACCCTTGATCTTGTTTAGCGATGCCAATCCTCCTCATTGTCATGAGGTCCTGGAGTACAAAATTGTTAGATTGCATAGTAAACTGAAACTAGTTTTCATTAAGCAATTTAAGAAGTGAAAGGAGATTAAATCGAAATGATGGTATGAACAACACATTGTGCAAATGGATGTCATCATTTAGTTGAATACTTCCTATTCCTTCTATTTTTACTTTAGTGGAGTTAGGCAGCATAAGATAAGAATCAGATAAAGAGGTGTATGAATGGTACATGTTTCGATCACGACAAATATGAGAAGTAGCTCCTGAATCAATAACCCATCTATAAGTAATATTATGCAACAGAAAGTGTGTATTCATGCAAATACCTGTCACATTTGTAGGGACAGCTTCATCAGGATTGTCAAGTTTCATTTGATTGGTTAGGAAATTGATTAATTGCTGGCATTGAGCAGGTGTTAAATTGTCAGGTTTGTTCTGATTTAAAGGTTCTGGGCTTTCAAGAACTTGATTTGCAACAGGAGTTTGTCTATTCTTAAAGTTGTAGTTAGGAGGATATCCTACAAGCTTATAACATTTATCCTTTGTGTGACCCAATAAACCACAATATGCACATTTTGGCCTTTCCCTTCTATTGAATTTATAGTGATCAGCAGCAGAAGATTTTGTGGAAGAATTAACATCAAAAGCCATATTATCAGAGTTTATAGAGGGAGTGTGGGTTACAGCAGTACCAATCTCTCTTTGTGTTTCTTCTTGAAGAACCAAAGAAAATACATTACCAATTGGAGGAAGTGGATCTGATAGAAGAATCTGACCACGGATTTGGGAGAAAGAATCGTTCAAACCCATCAAGAATGACATTACGTATTCTAAGTCATTGTAGACTTGAAGATGTTGCAAGCCTCCACAGGTGCATGGAAAAGAGGGTTTGTATCCTGATAAATCCTCCCAGATTGACTTTAGTTTAGTGTAATAGGTACTCACATCATCAGTTCCTTGTTGAAGAGATGTAAGTTGCCTCCTGAGTTGAAATATACGAGGACCATTTTTTCTGGAGAATCTTGATTTCAAATCATCCCAAATTTCTTTGGCGATATTTGCAAATAGTATGCTGGTTATAATTTCTTTGGAAACAGAATTATAAAGCCAAGAGATAACTACATTGTTCCCATGAATCCACGCAGCGTATGTAGGGTCATCAGCAGCAGGTCTTGGAAGAGAACCATCAACAAACGGAATCTTGTTCTTTACGCCAAGGGCCACCAACATAGCACGACTCCATGTTGTGTAATTTTTGTTATCGAGTGGCTGGGAGGTGAGAAAAAGGCCAGGGCCATCGGAATGATGAAGAAAGAGAGGATTGGTTGGGTCTGAACTGGGATCTTTGGGAGTTTTTGCCATGGGAGCAAGATTGCAGATGCAAAAAGGTCAAGAAGTGGAAGTATGTGCTCCTGATACCATATTGACTCTATCACAGTCTTGATAGTTCAGTATTAGAGAAAAGAGAAAACAAAACAGAGTGCTGAAGAATACATCAGAATTATATTGAATATCATGTATAAGATTACAAAGCTGTGTCTTGTATATATATGTGACTAAAAAAAACTAACTAACAACCTATAACAACCTAACAGTTAACCAATATACAGCTGTATATTGGTATATTCCAATAGTTACATTTTTTATACTTTATAGGGAAAAATTCAAGCATATGGGATTTGTAGGCCATTTTAGTAGTTTGGAACGGCCGTTCTAGTTTGGGAACGACCCGTCCTCAATAATCAAAGGACATTTTAAACAGACATCAGAAGTAGACACTGAACTACTAGTTAGTGTCTCTACTATTAACTCAAAAGACAAGGAAGAAACAGGAAATTTTAATTTGGACACACACGCATGTGATATAAAAGAGTGAGTCGCACCAGAGTCATACAAAACAATTAGAGGAGTTCCATTGATGAAACACATACCCTGGATTAAGTCTTTGGATTGTGAAGCTTCAGCACCACTCAAGGCAAACACCCTTCCTGTCGCTCGAGGTTTGCTAGCACTCCCTCCAACCTCTGTTGTCTTGTTCTTGGGGCAATCACGAGCTCTGTGTCCCTTCTCTTGACATTTGAAGCACGTTATTTCTCTAGGCAACGGACATTCATATGCCCTATGACCTGGCTTCCCACAATTGTAGCAGTTGTTGTGTGAAACAGAACCCACACTTCCTCCTCTAGAAGTTTGGCTAGCCGTGGGAACTTGGCTTCTTTGTTGCACAAAACCTTGATTATTCACCTTAGAACTCGAATTCCCGGCAAACTTGGTGTAAGGTTTACCCTTACTAGATGAACCAAACTTATTATTCCTCATGGGTCCTCCACTCTTATAATGAGTTACCCTAGCACGGTTGTCCTCATCATATACTCGGCACTTGTTTACCAATTCATGATAGTGAGTAATCCCTTGATAATTGAAAACTTGTTTAATCTCAGGGCGAAGACCACTCACAAACTTTACACATTTGTCCTCCTCATTGCCCACACCATCATACATAGGGCAGAATCTAACCAAGTCTTCAAACTTAGTCACATAATCAGCCACAGAATCTTCTCCTTGCTTCAATTCAAGGAATTCCACCTGTTTCTTATGTCTCACATCTCGGGGAAAGTATTTCTCCAAGAATAGCCGCTTGAAATTCTCCCAGTTCACTTGGGTACCTGCAGCTATCATTCTTTGTAAAGCACCTTGCCACCAGATGCCAGCCTCTCCAGAAAGCATGAAGGCAGCCAAAGTCACCTTCTGTATCAAAGGACATCCCATAGCTTGGAATATCTTTTCAACTTCAAAAATCCAGTCAGTAGCTCTATCAGGATTATAACCCCCACGGAAGCTTGGCGGATTATTTCGCTGGAATCTCTCCAACCAATCTATTTCTGGTTGTTGGTTCATATTACCAAGAGCCTGAGCCATCGCTTGTAAAGCATCAGCGATTGCACGGTCGTTCCTACCTCCTGCCATTACTTTTCTGATCACCAGAAAAGTTAACAATTTTACTATAAGTAAACAATAAACTTAATCAATCATAACACTAACATATCAACAAATTCCACAATCAATCATTCCATCAATTATCTACCAAACAAGCATAGTAGACTCATAACTCACGGCCGATTGGATCGACCTGCTCTGATATCACTAAATGTGACACCCTTACTACCCCAATTGTATATATAATAAAAAACTTAACCTTTATAAAATTTACGAAAATGCCATTGATAATAAAAAATGGGTATTACATGAATCAAATACATCATTTATTTTACAAGACATATCAACTCAAGCTTCTCTAGTTCATTATCTAGGAGGTCAATAACATTGTGGGCATGTCTAAGGTATAGAATTGGGACCTTTCCCTTCTCACATGTTTGGGTACACTAGACATTCGTATAATGAGATTTTTTCATCTTATCCTTCTTAAAGAGAATTGCAAAATTAGGTTATTGTTATGCATATTTTTTTATATAATGATTTATTCATGTTTACATTGAATCTAAATTGTCATGTGGATTTTATTCACTGATTAGTGTCTATTATTATTATTATTATTATTATTATTATTATTATTATTATTATTATTATTATTTATCTTAACTCGGTGGTTGTTGAATTATGAATTTTATTCACTGGTTCAAGTTCCTAACTTTGAGGTTATGTTGGTGCTTTGTGTCTGTTAATTACATGCTAAGTTTGTATGTAATAATGTTGTTTGCTTATTTTTGATTTTGATTCACTAGTCACTTTTCCTTCTTTTTATTTGTGTTAAATGTTGGCTTTATGGTTAAGTTGCTATATTTTTGTGTGTCTCTAGCTTAATATGGTCTTGTGGTCCATTAAATTTACATATAGTTGGTGATCTTAATGGTTTGTAGTCTTAAGTTTCCATTAATATTTCTATTTTTATGCATGTTTCCATATTTGATCAACAAAGACTTTGTTGCTTGTAGACTACTAACTTTAGGTGTGGATGAAATTCATTTTTCGTGGATAAAAATTGGTTGGGTTTGCTTAGTGTGTTAATTATTAGGTAAGGTAATCTTGCAATGTGAATTGTGAAGTGGGATTTTGGCTTGTTTATTGCCATTGGTTTCTCGTTCTTGGCAATTCAAGTTACCTAGGAAGTTTGAGTTAAAATGATGATGATAATGTATATTATACTCTTATACTTTGAAGAAATTAATGTGCTTTAGTTGTGTTGAGGTACGGGAGGAATTATTGGTTTCGCTGTTTAAATCACTAGTTGAAGAGAAAAAAAAATTGTTTTTTTTAGTTACTTGAGCTTTTAAATTTCCAATTTTAATGTAAAGTCATAGTTTGACATTAGTGATTATATCATGATATTGTTTGTTTAGGCATGACTTTTATGACCATATAGTTATGATAATTCATTACAATAAGTCTTGATTAATTATATGATTCTTGAGTAACATTAGGTACAAAATTATTAACATATATGTGTTTTTAATTAAAAAAATTTACGTAATGAATAAGGTAGTTAATGTTGGCTCAATCAAATACTTTATAGTATCACATTAAATAATTGAGACCAAATAAAGTAACTATTGATCATTTTGTGCATAGTAGACTAATTTAATTAAATTGGTGTTTCATTATAAGTCACTGCATTGAAATTACAATTGAATGAACAGAATAGAACATTAATTGAACAAAATAAAAGATTTGAAGAACGAGATAGAAGATTTGAGGAAATGATGATTTTGTTTGCTTAAAATTATCAAGACTAATTACCTTCTAACTTGGATATGTTCAATATATGACACTTTCTACCTCGTATATCATAACACATAAATAATACAATTTAAATACTTCATGTAAAATAATGAACTTAAAATCCATACAAGTAGAGAGAATCATGATCAGTAATATAAACTAACTTAATGAAAATAACAAAATTTCAAAGGAATTAAAACCAGAGTTCTCAATTTTGTAATAATGTGAAACAAACTTCAAATCTAGTCCTAATTATGTTCTAATGTCACATGTTCTTTCAAAGCACCTATCATGAAGCCTAAATTTCATGACCAATATCTTTAACATCGTGCTAATAATCACTTGCAAAAACCACAAGATTAACAACAAACAAACAAGGGAGTGACATCTTACTCTAGCTCACAGTATAGGAATGTCATCCAATGGCCAAACCCTAAACAAGATATATGTAATATTTTGAAACTCTGATGCAATATTATAAATTTTCTTATCATTATCTTATTCATAAAATAATATTTTTTAAATTTTTAGTTACCATATTTAAAATAAATAAATAAGTATAGATGTTTTATTTTAATACCTTATGATTTTTTTTTTATATTTTTAGCAAATTAAAATAGAAATATTTACTATTCGATTTTATTATAATTTTTTTAGAATAATATTTTAGTTATTATGATATATATATATATATGTATATATTTAAAATTACTAAAATTTAAAATGTTTAATATAAGTAATTATATTAAATTTTTTTATAAAAATATTATGAATGGGAAAAGAAAGAAAAAAAATTTTAAAAAAAATCTACAACTGAAAATCTGTTGCTGCTGTCACGTACACAATATCCTATCACCTTATCTCACATTTATTAATCTTTATCCCTAAATAACTAAACATGAAATAGGTAATTCAATTGTAACTATTAGGGAATAATAATAAATTAATTAATGAATAATAATTTTGCCTATAAATAGGCCAAGGAGGGATCATGAGTGAGAAAGGAGAGTGAGAAGTTAAAAAAAAAAGAGCACGAAGGAGAGATTGAAAAAGGGGAGAGAAAGGATTAGAGAAGAATACTGAAAAAAAATTTTACGCAGTTAACTCTTGATAAGTCTATGTACTAAGGTAAGAGGGGGGAGACATTTATCCTTTTAAATTTTATATACTATTATGTTGTTTATTTTATGTTATATCTATGTGTATTTATTTAGTAAGATATTCCTAATCTTATTTACTTGCTTAATCTATGATACTTTTTATTCTAAATAATTAATAAGGTGTTGTTAGTTTATGTTATTTAATTATTTTTATGATGTTTATCACTGTCATTTACTTGATTAATATTCTTTAAATGCATTCCATTTACATAAAATAAATTATATTAAATTTTAAATAATTAAAAATACTCAAACTTATTTAGCTTAATTATTTTTATATTAATGTTAACTATAATATAGTTCTATTAAAATATCCTAAGCTCATCTTGTTGTTATTTCTTTATATATTATAAAGATAAATATTATTTTATAGCCATAAGAATGAAAGTTCGAATTAATTTGTAGTTGGAGATTTACCTTAGAGATTTAAATGAGTAAAACATAAGGTGACTAGACTAGAATGTT